CCCCCCCCCCCCGTAGCTCCGGCCCTGCATCCGCGGTATATATATTTTGACACGAAGCCCATAATTTCTGCAGAAAGTGCGAACGAATACCTGATGTGAGTCAGTCCTGTTCGTCGGGAAGCAAACCAACGCTGCCGTGTTGTGCTACAAATTCACAATTGGCACACGATTATTTTCTTCATGGCTACAAAGCACGATCGGTGGCGGAAGGCAAGGGTAAACATGCTGAAATCTCGGTAACTCGAGCATTTAAATTCTTGAACTATTGTTGTGAACAATAGAACGAGGATGAACAAAACCTGTCGTCGAATGTCCAACTTGTTGATTACTTTCTGTGTTCTTCCAAATTTCTAACAGACTTTCTTGATCACTTCGAAAGCACCTGGCAAATGGGTCAATCTGGTCGACTCGGCTACGTAAACAGTATCGCAGACCTCTTAGATGTCCGTCGACTCCATGCACCTTCAGGGCCCGTATTTCAAAATTTTTCCATTCCCGAAGTATACATAAAACGTGCAAGGCAATGCTTAGCAAAGCAGATGCGTTCTCACTGGACGGCAGACTTAGATATTGCAAGCCTCGAATCGAGAAGAAATTGGGCTACGCTTGTTGAACTTCAGTCAGCAATTCCCTTTCATTTACAACGCTACAAAACAATTCTAGAAGAGTGCAGGAAAAAATCTGTTGTCACTTTGTCAGAGTGAAAGGATGGCGACCAATGACCTACCGGCATTTGACAGTCCGTATGTTTGAAAGCGCAAAAACTAACGCTGAAATGGTCTGTTGTGGCAATGACTCGATCATTAGCTAATAATTACTGAACCTTGAACAATTTAAATATTAATTTTCTAAAGGCATTGTGTCGGAACATTTATAAGTCAGAGTAGAACGGTAGATTAGTTGTTGTTGTAATAGTTCGGTACGTTTTCTACCGTTTCTTATCTGTAATACGAAAACGTTCAACGAATAAATATTAGTAAGAGGCACGTGAGGAACAAGCCAATTTTAACGTGTGTACAGTATAACGAAAACGGGAATCGCTAAACGGCCGTAATATTAGTAGAAAACTAGAACTGTAAACCGAGACAACATCCGCGATATGCAACGCTGATTACAACGTTAAACGATAAAATGTCGACCTATACATCGACTG